CTTAACACTTACATATTATACAATAAAAATATAAATAATTTTAATGATAGTCAACCATTCAGTTTAAAAAATACGTCTTTTTATTTGTTTGGTAAAACCGTAACTCTGTATATTTTTATAGTATGTGTGCCTGTCTACCGTCTAATGAGCTCACTGTTTATGGAAATACGTCGCTTGAAAAAGAAGGTAAAATACTGTGTGCAAATGAACAATATAATAAATATCAATTCCAATAATACAGGGAAGTTGATAAATTTTGACAGGCTGAGGAAATTACTTTCTCTTGTGTGACTTTCATGTTGGACAGGTTGTGAAGAATTATTTTCTCTTGTATGAATCTGAACTTCTTTATGTAATAAGGTATGATGTCTAAATTAACAACTGTTTATGCCACAAGATTTTTTGATAAAACAATTATGTAGTCGGTGATTAGTTTTAAAACATGAGATACACAATTTATTTTTTATGTCAAACTCCCATTTCTCATCCACATATATTTCAAGATATTTTTTACATTTTCCTAAATTATGTTTTTCAATATTGCAGCATGAACAATTCTCGTTATACTAATTTCGGGTTATCAAAAGAGTTTCTGATTTTTTGTAAATACGGATTGGCTCTTAAGTTTAAAGCACATAACAAGTTATTTGCTTCTCCCATTTCTTTTAACCATTCAGCAAAATCTATTAAATTTACTTTTTTTTTATTTTACAGCATGTAGTACCGAGTCACGTCTAAGGCTAATGGTTAGATTACTAATGAATTCAACTAATAGAAATGGATTTTTTATATATTTACTACTGTCTAGATGTTTAATAGCATTTATTGAATTACAAACTAAGTTAGCATATTTAACTACACTTTCAGGTTTGTAATCTTTAACAGTTGGTAAATTTTGTATTTTTCCAATCATTGATTTAGTACACTGAGAGAAACGTTTGTTTAATGTTAAGAAACCTTATTAATATTTAACATATGGTAGTTTTGGATATGGCCGAACTTACGTAAGTTCACTATAACCACGTCATAAGTTAAAAGCTCATCAGTTAAAAATAAACACCAATAAATTAATATTAAACTTATTTACCGGTATAAAATAGATTTATTAACATAATATGTTAAATGTTAACAAATATATGTTTTAACGTTATATTTTAATTGTTCAATACAACATTTGTATCATAGTTATCAAATGTGAACTTTTACTATTAAACGTTATTTGTAAATGTTAAAATGTGATTGTTAACAGTTAATAAACCTATGTTTTGTATTAAATTTCATTATTTAATAAAGCAGTATTCTATATTTCCAAGACGTCTTTGTATCTTAGTTATCAAATCTTACATTTTATTATTAAAAATATTAATTGTAAATGTTAAAATTTATTTGTTAACAGTTAAGAACAGTATAGTTTAAAAAACCTTGTAATTGTTTAATATTATACTTTAATTGTTTTATAAAATACTATTCCGGCTGAAATTTTATAAGGTGAGTAGCAGGTCCACCAGGAAGTGTTATCTACAAGGATTTCGTTTATATCCCCTGCAAACGGGACGTGTTTTGTGACGCACGATTGAATCTCGGTCAAACCCAATACATTTTTTTCTTGGAAAAACTATGAAAATTAAAAAAAAAATACTTTTTAGGAGACTGTCAAGAAAAATAACATCTTTAAAGTGTCACTTTTTTGGCCGCATTTATTTTACAGCATACAAATTTAATTAGTTAACGATGGAATTTTATTCGATTAATAAAAATTTGAAACAATTCTTGCATTTAAGCCTCTTCATAAAAAGAAGAATGTGAAAAAAATATTGGCTCAACTTGATGAGATAGTCGCATAAAAAATGTTGTGTACACCTCGACCGAATAATCTTTTTTGACCTAACCAGAAGTTGCTTGGTCTTGGCAGAATACTTCTGATTCGGCCAGAAAATATCAACTTTATGGCCTTGGTACACAAATAACTATTTCCTACGACCACTTAGGAAAGTGACACATATCACACTATATAGACCTATGGAAAGTGCCCTATATCACACGCGTATGAATAAGAATTTACTTTCCACCCAAGTGAGAATATGCTACTTTCCGCAGTAGCTGTCAGAAAATGTCAAACACATAATTTCTATTTTGATCTATGTAATGTCCATATTAATACTAAAATCGATATGATTGTTAATTTATTGTAAATTAGATCCTAGATATTTATCTTTAACAATTATTTTTAAAATAATTTTAAAATAACTAAGATATATTTGCTTTTTATTCTGGTTAAACATATAAGCGAGTAGATCAATCAATTACCGTAAGGCCTGTTAGCTCAGTTGGTTAGAGCATCAACTTTGCAATTTGAGACCGTCCAACGACAGCGATCGAATCCTGGCTGTGCCAAAAATTTTTTTTAAATTTTTTTTTATTTTTTTTTTATTTGTTTAGAAATTATGAAAATTTAATAAATACGATTATTGTTGATTATTTTTTTAAATACATTTTAATTATTATAATAATCTGGTTTTACATTTTTTGATGAAATTATTTTGTGGTCGTAGGAAAAATATTGTACATCACTTGTGTGAAAAGTGATTTTCCACACTTGTGTGATAGTCGCACTCGGCTTGCGCCTCGTGCGACAATATTTCCCACTCGTGTGAAAAATGTCACTTTCCACACTCGTAATGTAATATACTATTCTATTCTTTGATTAAGGATAATTTTCTTACCGTAGTAGAATTGTATATAAATAAAAAGTTTATTCGGTAGTGTTTATTGTTTTTATAAAGTTTAAGTACCTACGGGCACTACATATGTTTCGGAAATACTGTTCCATACTCTGGTGCCAGTTATTAAATATTGATTGGCACCAGAAGATGGAACAGTGTTTCCTAAACATTTAGTGACTGTAGGTACTTAAATTTTATAAAAACAAGAAGCTTTCGGAAAAGACGCTTTACTTAGTTGAGTTGAAACATGGCAAATATTCCATGAATAGAATGTTTTTCATTATTTGACTTTAATTAATTACAATATTCACGAAAAAAATACGTACCTATTATTAGAATTTAATAAATAAATATGATTACTTACTAGGATAAAAAATCCTGTAAACTTTTAATAAACTTAGCTGCTAATGTCGGTCGGCGTCACTCACAAAAAGAACGATTCTGCACTGCGAAATGTAACCAGACAAGAACGTGCTTAACAAAATGGCAATTAGAAACCACGTGGTGTTCCATGTTGCCAATTTGCTAAACTCAAATTACCTACCCACTGGGAGTGCATACTGCACTTAAAAAAAATGCATATTTATAATACAATAATTAGTTATAGGCCACTAGTAATACAGCCAACAACTTTTAAATTAATTTACGCTAGTTTTATGTTAACGATAAATAGAAAAAATATTAAAAAATGGTACCTAATAGGTAATTTGAATTGTTTATATTTCCTATGATAGCACAATAACAAAACGTGAATGGCAACGTTGAGATCGGCGCATTAAGGGGACGTTGAGTCTGGGTATTATTAAAAATATATTCGCTAATAGTTAACTTATCATAGTTGTATATTAAAATTTATTTATTTCGTAGAGCTGGAAAGCACAAATGTTATATTTAAAGTGTTGTATTTTAATATTAAGAAATTTGTAATGTTTAGATAAACATAATAGTTATTTTTAAATATACGTATATTGCCGAGTAAAATATTTGATAATATATCTATTATACCTTACTGCAACAAATGTTTTGTTAAAGAAAAACTCGTATTTGTGAAATATTTATTAATAATTATAATATTATGGTATTAATAAATTTCCTCAGTTAATATTTAAAGAATTTCTTCCTTACTTACAATAGTTTAAATATAAACTACTTTTTTTTCTCTCAGTGTAATATATTGCGGACATCTGTAAATATTCTCTAAGATCACTATAAGGCGATTTTAAATCAGTTACTATAAATGTAACCAAGTCAAGTGTGGTCAAGGTTCTTACGTCATTATAATGACGTTCTAATAATCTGATTTAAAAATGTTTGGTTTATATTGACACTAACTTCACAATGGGTATAACATTGGCAGATATCATGAATTTTTATTTGTGTGTTATGTAATAGTAGTAGGATTTGTTTTTGAATTTGTAGGGATAAAAAAAATATTTGTTTTGTTTACTGATCATGGATGAAGAGAAAATTGGTATTATAGTTACTTTGGCCTCTGAAATTTTATCAAAACTTTAGCCATGTTCATTAATAAATCCTACCTTGAAAATAAATTGGCTTTTCATTTGCAGAAACCTTAAATGCGTCCATATCTAGGTACTCAGCCAGGGTTGCCAGATGTCGCGCTTTAGGCGTAATTGTTCCACTTTTTAACTTGCTGGTACGCGTTACGCCAAAGTACAAAAATGCTTCGCATTTCACCTTATTGCTACGTTTTTTAAATTTAAAGTTATATACAATGATATTTTTGACAATGTTTGACCTGTTTTTGAGAAGCTCAGAAAAAGGAATCTGATGGTTTAAATAAATATAAGCGGAGGACCTTTTTTTAGATCTCTACAAAAAAAGGAGCTTATTTTATAAAAATACCTGTTTTTTTAACCTGATACCCTATCGTCACCATTGTCCCACTTTTCCCTTTCGTAAATATTTCTTTCTATTTTACAAATAACACAACCAAACAATGATTTAATAATTAAAAAGTAAAATTTTTACATTTGTCATTTCATTTGACATTTCATACCTGTGATGACCACGTTTTTACTGTAGTCATGTTAAACTTGACTATTTCAAGACAATAATCAATATGACGTCATTGTTTTTGATTTATATCAGTGTAGTTAATCATACTCAAGACATAGTATCTGATTTAAAATCGCCTATATTATCAGACACATTTAAATGTGACATGAGCAACATTTTGACTGATTCCCGTGCCTCACTTTGAGACATTGTCTAAGCCTGACTAGATATTCGCTGTCAGAATTTTTACAAATTATAGTTTTTTTCATTGAACTCAGTTATAAATACTAGCCAATCAGTTGGGTTACCATCAAAGGTAAGTAATGATCTATCTATAACTTATCTTTATATTAAATATTCTCATGCAGCCATAAAAACACGTAAAGAAATCAGTTCGGTCGCCGAGCCATGTAAAACTAGGAAGAAGGTACAAATTTTATGATTGATTCTAGTATTATTTGATACATATGCAGGATGCCAGAGTGACACTCTTGGGCAACTTATCGATGGTCCAAATGGGGTCAAAAAACAGAAAACCCCCATTGTATTGCGAGTGAAAGGAAGTTGGGTGACTAAATTAAATATTTGTGGTTTATTAAATGTTTATTATGTTTATGTGGTGTGCTAAAAGTTGTGGAATAAAAGGGAAAACAAGATATGATAGATGGCGAAGAATCAAAGATAGTGCATACGTTTTACAAAGAGAAAAATAGTAAGAATTAAATCTCATGAAGAAGATAGGCAGATAAACTAAAACATGTATGAACCCTTTGGTCATTGAAGACCACAATAATGGTATTTTTAGTGTACACAGTGGCTGTATTGAAAATACACAAGTAAATGTGGATGATGCCGTATGCCTCAGAGAAAAACAACGACAAAAATTTAAGGAATCACTGCCAAAAGAATGTTCCTTTGGAAAAGAAAGTTGTCACTTTGTCAAATCCCAGAAACATATGTTGGTATAGCAAACAAGTGTCTATAACACAGAGTCTATCTACAGTTCATCAAATTTCTAGAGGTGTTCGACGCCCAGACAGAGAACGCGCTACGTGTGACTAAGATAGCTATTGTACAGTCTGCTAAACAAGTTATTTAAAATAGTTTTTAATATTTTTAGGTAATTAAATTTTAAAAGTGTGGAATAATTTAGGGATTAAATTGGTCTGATTGGACTTTCTTAGAACGTTTTTAAAAGCAGCTAAAGATAGTATGTAGAATTGAAAATAATTATTATGCCATAAAAGGTGTTTTGGAATTCCTTCAACCTTTTAAAATTGAGTCAGAAAATATAAATTTTATAGTATAGCGGAAAATACCTATAATTTTTTTGTAGGCCTTTGTAAATCGTGGAAATAGTTTATATTTTATTTCTACCTTATTAAGGAAAATGGTACCTATTATTAATAACGGTTGTTTCTGAAACATTACTAAAATTTTCAAAATTTTGTTTTTCTACAAAATAATAAACTATACTATTTAGAAAAAAAATTATTTCTCTTATAATTTTATAAAAAATAACAGGGGAATATTTACATTTCTTGATCTATTAAACAAAACGATAAATTATCTCGACGAATGACACCATGTTCTAGTACGGAAGCTAGCTTTACATTTTTGTTGGTGGTTTCATGGGTTTCATATCAATTTTTTGTAATTGTAGTTTACACGTACATATACCTCTTAACACTTGTTTGCTTTATTAAAAAAGTGTGTTGTTGTGATTTACGTCGAAATAAGTTAAAAACAACTTGAAACCCCATATAAAATCAAAAAGGAGAAACGAAAAAAAATTGAGCCTGTAAATGAACACAACTCAGAAACAAAAATAGCTATCTAATAATAAAAAAATAAAATTTGATTCTTGTGCATCTTCGTTGTAAAAATAGATAATACTTTTTTGATCTTAGGTACAAAATCAGTCTCACTGTCACTGTTTTAGTTAATTATAAATCTATCAGTTGCCTCATCCAAAGTAACTTCTCTGGCATAAAATTTAGATTCCCACATTTTAGCATTATTACAACGAGATTGCCACTCCTCTTTAGAAAACGTATCAAAAAAGTCTTAACACAACAGTTGTACGTCTTGCCTCTTAAATGTAGTGTTGTTACTAGCTACATATTGTTTCAATGATGCCCACACTAATTCGATCGGATTAAGATCGGGATGATACGGTGGCAAACGCAAACAACTAAAACCATGTTCATTTTTATCATTTCTTCAATTGCATACCTCTTAAATCGTGACTTAATGCAATAGCACTAAACTGTATAATTGCGTTTTGAGCATATCCTCTTCGTAAGCAATATTATGATTCCTTAACCAATCCTGCATGTCAGCTTTTTTAGAAGTTGACGTTGGTGCTTTATTTACCTGGACATTATGGTAAGGAGCATTATCAACAATAATGACGCTTCTTGGAGGGAGGTTCGGAAACAGCTTTTCTTTCAACCATTTAGAAAAATTATTAAAATTCATTTCATCGTGGTAGTCTCCACTTTTGGTTCCAGATTTGAAAATTAACCGGGCATTCGGAATAAAGCCCATTTCACCTCCTGCATGGACAATAATTAGTCTATCACCTTTATTAATTGGTTTCCTTAATCCCTCAGTTGAATTATCACTCCAAGCTTTCTGGTGTGTGTGGGAGGCATGAATGTATGTTTCATCTAAGTAGACAATTGGACGGCCCTCTGCTCGATAACTTTTTAAACGAATCAGATAGTCTAAACGTAGCTTTTGAATATCAAACCTTTCCATTAATATTTTTCTGTTTGTTTTTGTTTTCCACCAACGAAATCCTAGCGACTTTATTATTTTTCTTAAACTTTCATAGCTTCCTTTGTACCCTGTAGCTTTTCTAAATTTGGTCAGAATTGTTTTTAATGTTGGAACAATATTTTCCGAGATTAACATGAACAGAATAATTTCTTTTAAAATACCTTTGTCAGCTTCATCTATATCATTAACTATTTTTGGTTTTTTAATGGTTTTTCTTGGTGATGAAAATTTCGATGTCCCACGGTTATCGATTCTATTTTCTCTCCAGAAATGCGGACGACAGTGTTTTTAGATACTTCTGTGGCTGCAGCAACACGATCATTTACATTTTTAAATGGTATTGAAGGTGAATTAAAGTTTCCTTCTCTTCTCATAAACTCTATAACATTGGCTATTATTTCGCGAGATTGACTGTTAATCACGCGGCCTCTTAATTTGCTATTAAACTCCATACTTAGGTTCTATTAAACTGTAATGAGCAAAAAACACAAACGAAAATAAAAGAAATGTTTTAGCGAAATTTACAACTGACATTTACGTCTGAATAAAATAGTGAAATACTTGATGCGCAGAGTGTACTTTCATTCCGTAAATCCGTCGGCCCCGCCAACCGATGCCTCTCAGTAGTGCTTTCTCTTTCTAGCCGTCGAAAGCCTCTAGAAATTTGATGAACTGTACCCTACCCAACAGTTCATACTCTAGAAACCCAAGCAAACTCATTGTTAGCATTACATTGTCTCACTGGCTATGATACCTCGTCACAATTTTTGTAGAATTGTAGAATTGAAAAGTCTAAAGCTTTACAAGTCAGATTTGGTATTGAAGCTAAGCATTTAGGTTGTGTAGAATCTTTAATGCCACAATATATTGCAGAGTACACAAGCTTCATTGCTCATTGATACGACTACAAGAAGACAGTTTACAACATGTCAGATGTTCGATTAAAAGTGAGGTTATCTAAGAAAATTCTTTCTAAAATTAAGAACCTCCCTCCGACAACAGAGGCATTTAAACTCCATGTAAAACGATGCCATTTCCATGCTTGCACTTGGAACGCAGAAGCATCTTCGTTTTCTCCATCTTTAAATCCAATTGATTATGGATGGGCAAAGAATAAAGCAACACACTCTTTGGTGCCCATCCAACTTTTAAGTAACAAAAAATTAACACCACCAAAATTACTGAAAAGTTTAAGATGTAGCTGTTCAAGCGAGGAGTCATGTTCAATAGCAAGGTGCAGTTGCACACATGTAGGTCTGCCTTGTAACTAATTTGGGCAAGCGAAGGCGGACAATTATGTGACAGTTTCAAGACATATGATGATAGTATCACTGAAATATCCACTTCCGATTCTGAATATCCTGTAATATGAAATACATTCTGTAGTCTGTATCCTTGTAAAATATTCTGTAATATTTAATTAACATTAAAGGAAACTACACATTATTTATTACTCATTTTCCCCGTTTTAAGACATATTTTATGTTGAATCGCAATCTTATAGTGTTGCAAAAGTATAGTGTACCGTTATATTATGTAGTATTTACATTATAAACATTTAAGACAAATATTTAATTTTGGTTAGTCGATTCAATAAAATGTGTGAGATCTGTTTTTTGGACCCCGTAAACTTTAACCTTTAATACTTAAAGTACTTTTAGACGATCAGATGAGTTCTCCGTTCAGACTCAGTTTCAGTAAAGTTGTCAGTTCTGTTTGGAAATTACATCCCTTTAACTGACAACTGATACGATAAATTGGTATACCCATCGAGCCACAGCTCCGTATCAGTTTCAGTTTTTCCTACAGTTTTTTGTATTTACACATACAGATACCTGACAGTTTGACTAAAACTGAGACTAAACAGAGAAATTATCTAACCGTCTAAAGTTTCCCAGGGTTACCACTCTGGCACCCTACTATTATGGTTCAGTATATCAAATAGCACTTGAAACAATCATAAAATAATACAGTTCATCAAATTTCTAGAGGCTTTCGACGGCTAGACAGAGAAAGTACTACTGAGAGGCATCGGTTGGCGGGGCCGACGGATTTACGCAATGAAAGTACACTCTGCGCATCAAGTATTTCACTATTTTATTCAGACGTAAATGTCAGATGTAAATTTCGCTAAAACATTTCTTTTATTTTCGTTTGTATTTTTTGCTCATTACAGTTTAATAGAACCTAAGTATGGAGTTTAATAGCAAATTAAGAGGCCGCGTGATTTATTATTAATCTCGCGAAATAATAGCCAATGTTATAGAGTTTATGAGAAGAGAATGAAACTTTAATTCACCTTCAATACCATTTAAAAATGTAAATGATCGTGTTGCTGCAGCCACAGGAGTATCTAAAAACACTGTCGTCCGCATTTCTGGAGAGAAAAAAAGAATCGATAACCGTGAGATATCGGAATTTTCATCACCAAGAAAAACCATTAAAAAACCAAAAACAGTTAATGATATAGATGAAGCTGACAAAGGTATTTTAAAAAGAATTATTCTGTTCATGTTAATCTCGGAAAATATTGTTCCAACATTAAAAACAATTCTGACTAAATTTAGAGAAGCTACAGGGTAAAAAGGAAGCTATGAAAGTTTAAGAAAAATAATAAAGTCGCTAGGATTTCGTTGGCGGAAAACAAAAACAAACAGAAAAATTTTAATGGAAAGGTTTGATATTCAAAAGCTACGTTTAGACTATCTGATTCGTTTAAAAAGTTATCGAGCAGAGGGCCGTCCAATTGTATACTTAGATGAAACATACATTCATGCCTCCCACACACACCAGAAAGCTTGGAGTGATAATTCAAATGAGGGATTAAAGAAACCAATTAATAAAGGTGATAGACTAATTATTGTCCATGCAGGAGGTGAAATGGGCTTTATTCCGAATGCCCGGTTAATTTTAAAATCTGGAACCAAAAGTGGAGACTACCACGATGAAATGAATTTTAATAATTTTTCTAAATGGTTGAAAGAAAAGCTGTTTCCGAACCTCCCTCCAAGAAGCGTCATTATTGTTGATAATGTTCCTTACCATAATGTCCAGGTAAATAAAGCACCAACGTCAACTTCTAAAAAAGCTGACATGCAGGATTGGTTAAGGAATCATAATATTACTTACGAAGAGGATATGCTCAAAACGCAATTATACAGTTTAGTGCTATTGCATAAGTCACGAGAAATGATAAATGAACATGGTTTTAGTTGTTTGCGTTTGCCATCGTTTCATCCCGATCTTAATCCGATCGAATTAGTGAGGGCATCATTGAAACAATATGTAGTTAGTAACAACACTACATTTAAGAGGCAAGACGTACAACTGTTGTGTGAAGACTTTTTTGATACGTTTTCTAAAGAGGAGTGGCAATCTCGTTGTAATAATGCTAAAATGTGGGAATCTAAATTTTATGACAGAGAAGTTACTTTGGATGAGGCAACTGATAGATTTATAATTAACTTAAACAGTGACAGTGAGACTGATTTTGAATCTGATATGGAAACTTAAGAAAGTTTTTCGGAAGACCATTAAAATTATATCTGTACCTAAGATCAAAAAAGTATTATCTATTTTCACAACGAAGGTGCACAAGAATCAAATTTTATTTTTTTATTATTAGATAGCTATTTTTGTTTCTGAGTTGTGTTCATTTACAGGCTCAATTTTTTTCCGTTTCTCCTTTCTGATTTTATATGGGGTTTCAAGTTGTTTTTGACTTATTTCGACGTAAATCACAACAACACACTTTTTTAATAAAGCAAACAAGTGTTAAGAGGTATATGTACGTGTAAACTACAATTACAAAAAATTGATATGAAACCCATGAAACCACCTACAAAAATGTAAAGCTAGCTTCCGTACTAGTACATGGTGTCATTCGTCGAGATAATTTATCGTTTTGTTTAATAGATCAAGAAATGTAAATATTCCCCTGTTATTTTTTATAAAATTATAAGAGAAATAATTTTTTTTCTAAATAGTATAGTTTATTATTTTGTAGAAAAACAAAATTTCGAAAATTTTAGTAAATTTAGTAAATTTTAACTACACAGGTAAAAGTAAAGGTGGTGGAATTTTGATGTGTATTAATAAAAATAAAATTAAAGTTTTAAATGTCAATTCAATATCAAAAAATTACGAAATGCTTATCGTAGACATTAAAGTTAATAATTCTAGTAATTGTGTAATAGTCTTAGTGTATATACCGCCAGACAACAAAATTGATTCTTATAATAGAATGTTTGATACTTTGCAGGAGCATATATTAAATAAAAATGCATATATATTCGGAGACTTTAATATTCCTCAAATATCGGGTAATAATATAAATTCATTAAATATTAAAAATCCCAAAATAATTGCAATATCGGAATTTGTATCTGTCACTTCTATGACCCAAAAAAATACTGTTAAAAATAACAAAGGGGAAATGCTAGATCTGGTTATGTCATCAGATTCCACTAAGGTCGTTGTTGAAAAGTGTCACCAAGCTTTAGTGAAAGAGGACAGTGAGTATCATCCGGCTTTAGAAATATACGTCGAGATTAATAAAGATGTATGTAAAAAATGCTGTGACAATAGGGATTTAAGTAACAAGTTCAATTTTAAAAAAGCCAATTTTGAATTATTAGTAGAAAAACTGAGGGAAGTTAACTGGGGTAATGTCTTAGCTCAAAAAGATGTAAATAGGGCAACAGAATTTTTTTATGAAACTTTAAATAATATTTTTGATATATGTGTTGTCAAATTTAAAAATAAAAGACCTAGAAGGAGTTATCCTGCATGGTTTACGATGGAGCTAAAACAATTGCTTGGTGAAAAAGAGAAATTCAGAAAACTAAAGATGGTATCAAATGAATATGCAACTAGATACATAGAGATTAGAAAGAGAATTAAAAAACTAACCAAAACCGAACATGCAAATTACATAAATAAAATAGAAAGCAACATAGCAACCGATATAAATAGTTTTTGGTCTTACATAAATAAGAAAAGGCAGAAAAATAATTCAAATAGTGATCAATTTCACCTTAATAACAATTATAATTTATCAAGTACTCAACCTGCACAAAATTTTGCTAATTATTTTCAAAGCGTTTACAATAATATAAAAGGTAATTACGATATTATAAGTGATAGTAATAGTGCTTTAGATGTTTTTATTTTAAATCCAGTGACTCAAAAAGATTACAAGAATGCAATAAAAAAGTTAAAACCTAAAAAATCAGCCGGGGTTGATGAGCTCCCTCCTTACATATTGAAAGGTTGCGCAGAGTGGTTGGAAATTCCTTTGCTGCATATTTTTAATTTAGCCATTAAATCGGAAACATTTCCAGAAAAATGGAAAACTGCAAAATGTATCCCCATTTACAAATCAGAAGATAAAACTAATATCTCAAATTATAGGTGTATTTCAATTTTGTCAGCGCCAGCAAAATTACTTGAGCAAATAATATATCAACAACTTTATTCCCATGTAGAAAATAGCATAACTATATGGCAACATGGATTTATTAACAAGAAATCGGTTAATACGAACCTACTACAATTTACAAACGAAATTTACAGAGTGTTTGAAAACAGAAACCAATTGGATGTAATTTTCACAGATTTCGCAAAGGCATTCGACAAAGTTGATCATGACTTACTATTGCTTAAGCTAAGCCATTTTGGGATAAATCACAAAATATTTAAAACTTATTTACAAAATAGAAAATTCTTTGTTACATATATGGGCCACAATTCTAATTTATGTGATGTGAACTCCGAATTTCCTCAGGGCTCAAATCTCGGTCCTCTTCTCTTTCTGCTTTTTATTAATGATTTACCAAATGTTCTAAAAGAGTCGGCTTGTGTACTATTTGCTGATGATCTTAAAATATACAAAGAAGTTTTAACAGTTAGGGACTGTGTTGGATTACAAAGGGACATAAACAGAATAGTACAGTGGAGTTTAGTGAATAAATTGCCTTTCAATACAAAAAAATGTAACGTAATAACCTTTACTCAAAAGAAATTTGATATTATTTGATTATATCATGCAAACAGAAAGTCTTAAAAGAAATTATGAAGTAAAAGATTTAGGAGTAAGCTATGATTCGACTTTGTCTTTTGCACAGCACTTTGAAGAAGTCTGTAGTAGGGGAAATAGGGCATTAGGCTTTGTAATGAGAAATACACAATGTTTTTCAAATTTAAATGCAATCAAAATTTTATTTTTCACAATTGTGCAACCAATTTTGGAATATGCCTCTATTATTTGGCAACCACAGCCAGCCGTATACCTAATTAGAATAGAAAAAATTCA